ATTTTGATCAAGTTTTCCGTTATTTGATCCTATTTAATGATGGAGTTTTCTGTTGTTCCGTCCTATGGAGTTTTCCGTTCCTCCATCCTGTGTGATGATAGTTGAGTTTTTCGTTACTCGATCCCGAATGTTATGAAGAAGAGAGAAAGAAAGATAATTTTTTTTTTAGAGAGAGAAAGCCTCTAGAAAGAAAAGAAGCCTCTAACGAGAGAAATCTTCAGAGAAAAAAGTAGAGAACCCAAGAAAGGTTGTTTCTTGAAAGACCATGGTAACCTGTGAAATTTATCATGGATTTGATCACTACTCGTTTTTTTAGCAACTCAGTAATGTTCACCAGTCGCTTTGTATCAAAACATCTTGAGTTTGAGGGGGAGTGTTGGGATATGGATATTTCAGGTTTATATTGATATACATCATTATGGATGTATATGTATATATCTTTTGATAAGGTTAGGTATCTAAAAATAGACACCAAGTTACTTAGTGATCAAGTTATCATACCAGATTTATCACATGTAATTGTGTGTTTGTCCTCTATATATAGAGGTCATTATTGATGTAAACAATCATCTAAAATAGTAAATATGCAGCCATCTAGGCTTTGGATCCGTAGACGTTAAGCTTTGACTTTAACCTCGTAAATGTTGTGTTCTCTCCGTTCTCTATTCTATGCTTCCACGAATTCTAATACAAGCTGCTTAGGAACCGTCCGAGTTAGATAGGAATTGGAGAGTTAATGAGTTTGAGACCCTCCTAAAATCACACTCTAATGCATTATCGTTTATTGATAACTTTTTCTCCCATATTTGTCTTTTTTTTTTCTTTATTAAAAAATTCCCCATTTAAACGCCTTTCAGATTTTCACAATCCTCTCTAGCCTTGTTTATTATGCAAACATATCAAAACATATTATGGCGAGATTTTTTCATCAAAATCTCACTATTTTTTACCTACAAAGCCCCTCTGCCTTCTTTTTTTTTTTCATCATTTTGTCCATCAAATTATTTGAAATTTATTACAAAATGATTATTTGGAGTATTCCAAGAGATCCGGATCACAATTTGTTGGATCACATTAACTGTCCAAAGAAATTTAGATTCATTTGGGCATTGTTGCATATCCGAGCTTATTATGTGGATTTCTGTAGTTTAGTCCACAATTTTGCTAGGGATCTCTTACTAGAAGCGGTAATCTAAAAACTTTTTCAATAAATTTTATATTTTTTTTCCAGAATTTATTTACTCTATCTTTTATGCTTGTTAGTTTCTTTGCTGCATGATATTTTTTAGGGTGATCATTGCAAAAATTTTCAAAAGCTTTTCTATAAGTAATTATTTGATATTTTTCAAATATAGAAGTTTCATCTATAGTTATGGGATGGCATTGGCTGAGATGACTTTGAGCAATCATGTCATTCTTTGTTGTACTACGTTGTATATTTCAACTTATTTACTTGTATTGTTTCTTCTTCTTTTTTTTTTGATATTATAGATGTTATTACTGTGATTTATTGCAATTTTTTTTATTATAAAATCATTGATTACATTAAGAAGTGAACATGTCTCTCAATATCTCCGTTTTTTTTTATAATTTCATCAAAATATATAATTTATTCATCAAATTTTTTTTTTCAAACTCACATTTTAATTTTTATTTTTCTTCCAACTTTTCAAACTTTTACATAGTTGATATGGCTAAAGAGGTCACATCCATCCAATTTGGTACAATTCATTGAGCATAACAGAAAACCGGTTGGTGCCCCGTTCACCCCTCCAGCCTGCTTTTCAAATCATCGATTAATGTTTCTAACATCATATCTCCAAACACTATAGAATTAGGGTTTGTGTGTTGACAAGATGAATCGTTTACTTGAAATTTAAGTGGGCTGCCCCCTCCAAGGAAGTAAGCAATAAGGGGAAAGTGAGAGAATAAATGGAAGTATATGGTGGCTAACTATGTACTAGGTTCTTCTAATAGTAGTAAGTGTTTGTAGGAGAACTGTAAATTGGGTTTTGCTAAATTTGTCCATGGTTTTTTTAGTGGATTCTTGTTTTGATTGACATTGCATAAATATCACTTTGGGTGCATTTGATTGAGCAATTTTTGGCGTAGCTTCAATGGATGGTTACAATCTCTTGGTTGAGGTTGTCACCAAAACCCCATCTTGGGTGCACGTTTGAGGGACTTTATTGAGCAAATTGTGCCCTAGTTCTTTAGGATAGAGACCTTGGCTTTGATAGGGATTGTCCCACTTGGTGTCACATATGAGAGGACTTTTTGGAGCAAAGTTCGTCAAGGTATATACTACATTACACCTACCTCCTTGAAGAGAGAGAAAAAATGGTGGGGTGTTGAGAAACCACCTGCTCAATTCTGAGGGAGAGAGAATGTGATGTCCATCTCAATGGCATGGAAGAGAGAGAAGTTTTAGAGAGAGAGAGAGAGAGTTTTGAACTTTTTATTGGGACTAATGGAGAGGAAAGAGTGTAGTCTATTGAGGGAAGAGCATGTGTTGTCCATTTCCATGGCTCTAATGGCGAGAGAGAGTGAGGCCCATGTTCATGTAAGAGAGAAAACGTGTGCTTTCTCACTAGGTCGGCAGGGGCAGAGGAGAGAGAATGTGATGGTCAATCTCATGGAGGAGAGCGTATGAGTCCTACATTGAGGATTGAGCATTTGCTGCCAATTTTGGGTGGGCAGGGGCCAAGGGAATGTGATGTCCACCTCAAAGTTTTCATGGAGAAGAGAGAGAATGTAAAGCTCACCTATAGGAATGGCAGGGGAGATTTAGGACTGCATGGGATAAAAGGAGAAAGATTGTAGAGAGAGATGTGGAACTCATCAGGGCGGGCTGGCAGCCCTAGCCCGAGCCAGTTCCCATGAGGGCTGGCTCAAGCCCGGCTCTATTCCGGAGGGGGTGGGATGAGAGCGGCCGAGCTGGGCAGGGCCAGGTAAAAAAAATTAAAGGAAAACAAAACTAAAGAAGATGAAAAAAATAAGGGCCGGGCCGATCCTGTCTTGGCCTTGCCTAGGTCCCGGTCCGCGGGCAACATTTTGTGGCAAAAACTTTAATTTTTTTAGAGCTGGGCCAAGGCAGAAAAATTTAAAGGAAACAGCAAAAAAGATGAAAAACAAATAAGGACATGGCCGGCCTAAGTCTAGCCTAGGCCTGGCTCTCATGCTACATTTTGGCCAAAGCCCTAATTTTTTAAGGCCGGGCCTGAGCCGATAAAGTTAAAGGAAAACAAAGTAAAAAAGATGAAAAAATAAATGAAAAAAAAGGGCTAGATTGGGTCAAGCCTGGCCCTCAGCGACATTTTGTAGCTAAAACCCTAATTTTTTTGAGCTTGGCCGGGCCACCCGGTCCATTTCCACCCCAAATCTACTGCCTAAGAGATGTATCTACTGCCTTAGAGGAGAGGAGAGGAGAATGTGAAGTTTTTTTCAGTGTCAATGATGGTGTGTGAGAGAGAGAGTTGTGAAGCTCATCCAAGGGCTAAAACGGAGGAGAGAGAATGAGGAGCACAGATAGGAGGAGAGAGAAAGAGAAGTTAATCCTAGTGTCAGTGATGGTGACTCATCTTTGCACATCCAACTTTGGAACTATTGCTTTTTGATCTTCCATAAAAGAGTGGGACACTGCCCTTCCTCTTTTTTTCTTTTCCATTATCATTCTAAACCATACCAACAAATCCTGCACGTGATTTTGTGAGGGAACACCTCGGCGCCAACCCTCTTGTTGTGGTCATCAATTGGACCACAATAAATGTTCACTATTACATCGAATGATGTATTTTTTATTTAAATGACCTGAGCTCCGATTTGGACCCCAAGAAATCTCGAATGTAAGTGATTATTTTTAAGTTATGGTTCGTATAATGCCCAGATTTTAAACAATCAAAATAAGACGCACTTTCAAATAGTGTCAAATAATGTTGTTTTGAACTAGGATTCTTTGTAATAATGTTAAAATTTATTTTCATGTCTAGTTATAAAATTTAAAGCTTAAAAAATAATATAGATTGAGTAGATATGTGAACACTTGAAAATTGACTGTCCAGATAATGCATTACAAAATAAACTATTTTTAAGACTAGAAATCCATTTTTTTTCATATATCCATATATCTTGAGCTCGAGGTGATGGATTCGAAGAATTTTAAGCATCGAAAACCTCTTTCAGTAAACTTTTGAGGTGCACCTTTGATTCTTTAGGGCCTCTCCTTTATATAAACCTTTTCCTCATTTTTATAGGGAAACAACATTACCTATCGTACTTCACTATTTTTTTTAGCACGCTTCCTCAAAAGATATCGTCTGTCTTTCTCTCTCTTTAACACACACAAACATTGGTAGAGTCCCTATTCCACGTACATGCAAAGACCTTGGTGGAGTCTCGCTCTCTCTATCCCTCTCGCTCTCTCAAAAGATATTGATAGTCCCTCTCTCTCTTTCCCTCATTGGTAATCTCTCCCTCACACACACAAACGACAATGGGAGAATCTCTCACACACACAAAAGACATTGGTAGAATGTCTTCCTCCCTCTTTCCCACACACAAAAGGCATTGGTAGAGTCTCTCCCTCTCTCACACACACAAAATACATCGGTACTCTCTCTCTCTCTCACTCACTCTCACTAACATAAAATACATTGGTAGAGTCTCACACACACAAATTGCATTGGTAGACTCTCTTACTCTCTCTTTAACACACACAAAAGACATTGGTAGAGACCCTCTCTCTCTTTCTCTCTCATACATGCATGTGCCCTCAAACACTCACGACTTTCGTAGAGTCTCTCTCCTCCCTTCTCTCTCTGACACACAATACATTGGTAGTCTTTCTCTCACACACACACAAGACATTGATAATCTCTCTCTCTCTCTCTCTCTCTCTCTCCCTAGGGGGTTGGTTTTGGACCACATGAAATGAATAGCAGAGAGATTCCATCTAATCTTAAATTTTTAGGGCTTTAAAATGTCATGAGTGTTGTTGCAAAGCTTAAGAGAGGCCCCTATATTTTATGAAGAGTGAAGGTTCCTATAGTATAAGTAGGGATGAAAATTTGAAAAGACATCCTTTGGCGCATCCAACAGCATTGTGAGCTGCCAAAAAGCAAAAGGTGATAGCCGCCATCACCACCACCACCACCACCACCACCATGCTCCTCAAAGAGGTCCCCTTAGTGGCTACAGTTCTACTTACTCACCCTTTTTATCTCTCTAAATGTTTCTCACTCTAAAACCAGCATTCATAAATTCAAAGCACCATTCCACTCCTCTCTCCCCCTTTCTCTCTCCCAGATAATTCACTCTTCTCTATCTCTATCCATCTCTCGTTCTTTCTCTGGAGATTTTGTCGAAAAGAAGAAAACCCATCTCTTGAATCCGTTGCTAGTGCTAAAGAAACCATGAAAGCAGCTTCAATTGAAGAAGATATTGGAAGGAGCCAAGACCTTGATCACAGAGCTATCATGAATGGTGGTTTTGAAAACCACCATCTTGGACCGAAAACCAGAGAGACAGAACTCAGACTTGGTTTATCAGGCTCTGGTCTTGAGACTCTGGAGAATGAGAAGAAAGAAGATAGGTGGTTTCTTGGACAAAGCTGTTTTCTTCAAAATCAGTGGAATGGTGGAGTCGGGTATGGTGTGCGTGCAAAGAGGGTTTTCTCAGACGCCATGATAGGAGCTCAAGAAGCCAGAGAGGTTTATGGAAATGGGTGGAATCTTGGTTTCATGGGTGCAGGTGAAGCGGGTAGAAACATGGTGATTAATAACATCAGGAAACCAACTGGTTTCTCTTTGAATGAGACTGTGAAAGATGGAATCTCTGATGAAAAACAAAAGGTGCCGTTTGAGAAGAATCGGAAGGCTGAGGCTCATTCTCCACCTGATACAAGGTTAGTTTTCCTAGAGAGAGAGAGAGAGGTTTATTGCTTTATTACATGATGAGAGAGAGAAGAGAGATTTCTTGCCTACTCTCCTGATGAGAAAAGAGAGAGAGATGGAGAGAGAGGTTTATTGCCTTATTCTCACGACGAGCGAGAGAAAAAAACTGAACTTTTAAGAGTGAAAGTATTGTTTTATTCTCATGATGAGAGAGAAAGAGAGGCTGACATTTTTGGATTCATGGTTCTTTAAGCTGAGATAGGAAACCATTACTATTGGTTTTGGAGTACGTTCCCTTCAAATTTAAGGAAAAGTAATTCAATTTGAAAGGGTCATATTTCGGATTCCAAATTTAGTAAGCCAAAAGATACTAACACTACGCAATTTAAAGACAAAATTTTGACACAGTTTATAATAGTCTTTGATTCAACACCAATTTCTGGTTAGTTTTTCCTTTTATTTCCTTTGATGGGAGAGAGAGAGGGAAAGGGAAAGGGAAAGGGAAAGGGAAAGGAGAGACAGAGAGAGATTAGAATTCAGGTGTGCATTTTTTAAGTTATTGTTTCACTTGGTATAATTCCTTGAGCCGTAGGATTCATCATCATGGCATGGATTCGGTATCTAAGAACTAGGGCAGCACATTCCACGTTCAAAAAGTTGTACAACAAATGAACAGTATGGTACAATAACTTTACTTTTGCATGCTCTCTGCCTTCAATCTTCACATTCTGCTTGCACCAAATCAAGCCTTTTTTTTCTTTTGATTCTTATACTCTGCTTTTGTGCAAGAGAGCGAGATTTTTTTTACCGTGGATTTTCCAAATAGAAGGGTGCATGGGCTTGGGTATAGGAGAGAGAAGGAGGGAGAGGGTCTGAGTGTTTTTATATGTTTATATGAGAGGAGAGAGACCAGTAAAGAGTAGAGAGGGAGAGAGGGTGTGTTTCTGCATGTATGTGGGGAGAGACGAGGAGAGACAGATGATGAGCAGAGAGCAGTGTTTGCAAACTCGGCCCGTCCAACTCGGAGCCGGCCCTGTCAAACCCGATTTGGGCATGGGCCTATCCAATTTTGATGGTCTAGCCAAGTATTTAAAAAAATTCAAAAAAATAAAATATAAAAGTTCGAAACCTAAGGGATTCATTTGTAATATGTTTTTATGGTTCCGAAAAAGATGAGGTGTGTTGCCCTGATACGAATTCTTACATTTTCTCATCTTTTTAGAAAATTTTGAAGATATCACTGGCACAAATACTCTTTTAGAATCCATTTTTTTTGGACTACTTTTCAATTTTATTTTGATGCGCTTTGTTTGATCATGCTTTAAATATATTTTATATTTTTTTAACAGACTGGGATTTGCTCAATTAGGCCTGTGAACTGGCCGGTTTACCGGAAACTCGGACTTGGCCCTTAGCCGGCCGTTTGATTTTTCGAATACTGGTAGAGAGAGAGAGAGAGAAATAAATAGGGGAGAGACAGTGATGATGAGTAGAGAGAGAGTGAGAGAGAGAGAGAGAGAATGTGATAA